AAAATAAAATAAACTGTAACAGAATGCACCCCCCCCCCACCAGCGAGTATCCTTCACGGTGTTAGTTGCCCCGGTAACAGCTCCTGTTCCAGTTCCAGTTGCTTCTGTCTCTTACAAACAGCTGGTCACTGTGATGCACATTGTATAAACCAATCCCCAGCTGACAGGCCATGCTGCCTCTGTACTTCCTGCTTGCTTGTCCCATATAAGCCCTAGACCACCAGAGATCAGGGCCTGATATTTTAGGAGTGATCCCAATCAGTGCCTGTCAACGTGAATAAATCTGCCTCTAAATCCTGGGTGTCATTTCGGGGTTTCTGCTTGCCGTTGCAAAGCTACTGACTTTGAGGTGACCCGCTAGAGCCGCCATGAAGCCAGGCAACTCCAAGGGTGGGCAGCAGCAGCAATCTCCTGCTCCGCCTCCGATGAGGTCTTCTAGGCTGCAGGCCAGATACCACCTCCGGATAAAGCTTGGGGTGGGGGTGTCTGGTCCTGCTGTTCCTGAGCCCCCGCTCTTTGGAGAGTTCATCCACTCTGTGTCTCCATCTAGAACATGAGGGGTGCTGGAGACCACAGGTCCTCAGGATCACACTGCTACATGGTGAACACACAATTAGTGTCAGCTACTACTGTTGTCGCAGTTCCTGTGATGGACCTTGGAACCAGACCTGATTTCCCCCATTTCGACCCAAAATGGACCCAATGCCCGACACTGGCTGCCTCCTCCCAACTCCACGTCCTAGGATGCCACGTCGGTAACTGAAGTCAGCCCCAGGAGGGGTGTTTCCATCATGGAAATCACACCTCCGTGCCAGGGCTGTTTAGGGTCTCCCCGGAAATCCGGTTACCCACGTACCACGGCCCCAGCCACCTGCCCCCGGCTTCATCTTCACCCCTCAGCACATCAAGGCCACTGGAAAACAGGGGCCCAGGCATGAAACATCAGATTAGCTGCTCTCATCACTTAAAAGGATCCAGTATGGTATAATACCAGCACCCTAGGAGGCTGAGGAAGGGAGACCCCAAGTGTGAGGCCAGCCTGAGCCACTTCCTGAGACCTTGTTCAAAATATAAAAAGGGCTGGAGGAGCTCAGTGTGAAGGCCGAAGGTTCAATCCCCGGTACTGGAGGGAAGGGGAGCGAGTGAGCTTTCAGCTCTCCTGTGTCCTGGGAAAGTCAGACCTGGCAGCCAGGAGAACTGAAGCCACACACTGCCAGGCACCGGACCAGAGCGGGGCAGGGCAGGTGTCCCTGCCTTCTCCCCACACCGAGGACGCGCACCATTCTCCTGGCCCCACTGCTGCACCATTCCTGCCGGAGCGCGGGACCCCGAGGCCCCTCACCTCTGCAACCCTTGGTCACAACCTCAGAGGAAGTCAACAGCAGCACAACCCCGACACGGAAAAACAAACGGCCACTGCTGGGCAGGACCTAAAAGTGCCCATGCGCAGGACCCAGCTGCAGAAATCACCCTCTTGGGGATGATTCCCCGAGGCCCCTCACGGTTTTACACATCCATTCAAAGTGTGGGTAAACAAGTCTTGGGTGACAGATGGCGTCTCCTTCTGGAGCAAAAGTCAGGCAGGCTGCGCACCCACTGTAAAAGACAAAGGCTTTCCTAAGCCACATGATAGCCCTGTGGTGGTACCCGCCTATAATCTCAGCACTCGAGGCTAAGGCAGGCGGCTCCACAAGCTCAAGGCCCACCTGGACTACTTAGTGAGACCAGGTCTCGAAACAGAAGGCACAAAGGTTTCCTAAGGGCACGGCTCCCCCATGCGGTGCAGCCTGCTGCTGTGCAGGCTCCGCCTGGCCCTCTCCTGGGATTTGTAGGAGTCGAGGCTCAGGAGCCAGGACACAGGCCGCCATCTGCCTGGTGCTACTGCTCGGAGTAGTAAACCGCTTTTTCTCCCCGATCTATCAGTCCCATCATTTCTGCCGATCCACGAAACCTTGGCGGGCTGGTTTATTTGCCTATAGGAGGGGTAAAACCTCAGGCCCTGCTCAGGTTTGAGACCTGTATTACGGTCCTTGCTGGGACAAAATACCTGACACCCCAAACTCAGAGGAGAGGTTTCAGCGCAGGGCTGCCAGCTGGCTGGAAGTGTCCGACGGCAGAAAACTGCTCAATCCGTGGCAGCCTAGGAGCTGAGGAAAAGGAAGGGGCTGGGGACAAGGACACACTCTTCTAGGTCCCACCCCCAGAGACCGCCTGCAGTCAGGCCCCCTCCTGACTGCGTCCAGCTGTGACATCGTCTGCGAATTTACTCACTGCTGAGTGTAGGGACCAGGAACCCATGACCGTCTCAAGGTCCCCCCATGAACACACAAGACACTTGAGGGACATTCCATATCTAACCCTAATGCCCACGCTTCTTTCAAAGCTGAGAACTCTCAAGAACAAAATGCAGGCAGCAAAAGCTGTCCGCTTACTCCCAGTACACAAAAGACACAGGAAACATCGGTGTGCTGGACAGCACTTTAATAGCCTACAGATCGGGGCAGTTTTATTGCTGTGATACCTTGAATCATTTCATAGTAACTCTGAGTAATTTTATAGTCAAAGAAGAGACACAGAGGAAAATAATTTCACTATACAGCGAAACATGTACAAACTTTAATTCCTATACGGAGATTTTCCACATCTGTCCAGTTTGGGCCCAGAACAAAGGATAACTAGTATATTTCACTCACTCCTTTTTTTCCTATCAAAATTGCTTCAAATACTAATTGGGAAATTAGGACTGACTTGTGGCAAAGGAAAAACAAAAACCTGGTTTCCTGGCAGAGTTTTAAAACACGCATCAAGTAACCACAGTGCAGGGTGAACTCACCCCTTTCTCTGCGAGGGCAGGAGAGGTCACTGCGCCTGTCACCTGCGCAGGCCTCAGAGGTGACACACGGCGTCCCCTCACGGACTGCAGAGGACGGCGAACCCCAAATGCCCTCTCTGGTCCTAACGATATTGCTTTTTATTTCCTGAATGTGACTCAAGCCCACGGAAGCAAGATGACGGTGGTGCCGGAAGGTGGCCAGAGCTCCTTGATTATTCTCACTAATCAGACGTGACCGAGCCCCGTCCCGCAGCCATGTGCAGCCAGCAAGCAGGTCAGGACTGCATGTGGTCAGGACTTCAGTGGTGAGACTTGAGCACAGAGCTCTTTACCAAGCACAGACGGGGTCTGATGTCGCTGAGCTCAAGACCCCCCTCTAGCCAGGCCAGGCTGGGTTAGCAGATGTTCCCAGATGACCTGGGCAGCTTACAAATGCCCCAAGTCAAGCAGAGAAAAAAGAAAAAGGGAGGAGAGTGAGAGTGCAGGAGTTGCTGAAGGGTAAAACGAGGCGAGGGAGAGGGGTGCAGCCTGGCTTTGGGGTCCGGCACAGCCTTCATCCTTGTTTCATCTTAGGTCCAAGAGTTGTCCAGGGAACACGGAAAGGCTACCTGCTCAAACTTTCAAAGCAAACCTCTTATCCTGGTCTACCAGGACCCTGTGTTTTCTTCCTATGTGTCCATAGATGCAAGCCCGTTACAGTTCTGTTTGGCTAATAATTTATGCAACATTTAAAATCCCAGACAGGTGAACATCTCTTCGCCGCTTCTGCACAAGGGCCTGAGATGCAGAAGAGAGAAATGTAAGGAACTCAGCTCCCCACCGGTGCCCTCGGCAGGGAGGCGGACGAGCATGGGAGCGCGCCCTGCTAGGACTTCCAGGACGGCTGGGAAGTCCTTTATTGCTCTTCTCAACAGTATAAAATGCTGTATTTGCAAACACAGCAGAATCATCTCCATTAAGGCCACTTTAAAAATTTCATTACAAAAATTAATCATTGAGTTTTAAACTACTCAATTAGCAAAAGCACCCTGGGGCTTCTGGGGAGGGCTGGGGTCCCAGTCTCCTTTGCTCTGCTTGTGAGCAAGGCCCCGTTCCAAGGCTGGGCACACACCGGCTGGCCTCGCCCGGCTGGAGGCCTTGATGGGAAGAGGCGGGCCCATCCTCAAGCCCCCGGGGGCTGCGGGTTTTCAGGGGGCGTGGCCCGCCCACAGGAAGCTGGGAAGTGACCTCATGCAAATGGCAAAGGCGATCCACACAGCAGCTGTGTGCTTCTCCCATGAAGTAGCTGGGAGTGGCGACGGCCTATAGGAGGGGCCAGGACAAGGGAGAAGTCTGCGTGCACTTGTGCCCGGGGCTCCACGGACAGCCCCCGACCTGGCTCCAGATAGAGGGGTGAAGATGCAGAGTGCACACACCCGTCGCCACGCCCGATCCTCCTGCCTCAGCTTCCTGAGTGCCGGCCTTGCAGGTGTGCGCTACCACACCCGGCAAGCCACAGGCCTGACCACTCTTTTCTTTCCCTTTTACAACAGTTTCTCCCATTTGAAATGCCAAGGAGTGCCACCTCTGGCTCAGGAGTGTGACTGGGAGGGCAAGCTCCACTCTGGTGCAGGGCTGGCCCCGACATCTTGCCGGCGGGTGCCTCCCTTAGCCCCTGCCACCCGGGGAGCCAGCCTGCGAAGTGCGCAGGTCCTGGTGCTAAACCTCAGCTAAGGTCACAACACCGGCCAGCTGGCTCTGAGCGAGAAGGGACTGAGGGTACCTGAGTGCTGCGTGATGTCACTTCCTCCTCCGACTGCAATTTGGCGAAGCTCTGCCTGAGGTATTGTGTGTGTGGAAGATTGCAAGTGCGGAGAAACAACAGAGAATCCAAGGCACAGAGGAAAGCTGGGTACCTGACAGGGGCTCCTCTGAACAGTAGTGGCTAAGCCAAGATGAGGGCGAGGGAGGCCTCAAGACAGACGTCACTCCTCCTGGGGTGGCTTAGCAAGCAGTCTCATGCACACACACTCCTTGCTCGGAGGAGCTCACTCGCTCAGCATGTGCGTAGAGCTTCTGAGAAGTCTATCCTTGCCAGGCATGGTGGCGCACACCTGTAATCCCAGCACTCGGGAGGCTGAGGCAGGAGGATCGCTGCAAGTTCAAAGCCAGCCTGGGTTACAAAAGTTAATTCAAGGCCAGCCTGAACTGTATAACAAGACCCTGCCTCAAAAAGACAAAAAAAAAAAAAAAAGGCCATTCTTAAATAAGCTCAGTTGGGTCCCAGAGGTATCCCCACTTGGAACCTGGAGACTAGCCCTGCAGAAGCCACTCCCGAGGCACAGACTGGAGAGCTCCCATCAAAGCAGCGCCGACAGACAGCAGACGGGTGGGAGTCCTGGTGCCTGCACCGAGGTCTCAGTCCTGCAGCCGGCTGGGCTGGGCTGGGCTGGGCAAGCCTCTGCTGCGCCCCGGTGCCAGTGGAAACCTTCGGGGCCAGGGACACACAGCACGGTCGGAGCTCGCTGAGCTCAGACCCTGGCTCTGGTTTCCCAGCCAGTTCTTCTGACACAAAGCACGCGCAAGCACCCTCACCAGCCTGCAGTGGAAGGGTGCAGCAGTCCTCAGCAGAACTGCTCCCTCGTGCCCCAGGGGAGAGGGTGCTCGGGTTGAGCAAGGGCTTCAGAGGGTGCCGCAGCCGCAGCTGGGCCACTGCCCTCACTCACACGGGGCTTCCTGAGTAAGCCGGCCCGGGCAGGCGCTGGGAAACCGAGAGCACAAGCGGCCTGGCCGACGGCGGCCCTCACGCGCAAGGGGCCGCCCGCCCGCCCCTCCTCTCCCGCTGCCCAGTCCCAGCCAGGGGCCCTGGAAGCCCCCGGCAGGCGACGCCCGGCTCCTCCTCCCCGCCAGGCCTGCGGCCGCGGGCTAGAAGTGGCGCTGGGGGAGGCTGGCGGCCGCGGGCCCCTTCTCCAGCCGCGTCACGTGGCACGCGCGGCAGAAGAGCCGGTCCTCCAGGGGGTAGCAGCGGTGACCGTCGTCGTCATTGAGCTCCAGGCCACAGTCCTGCGGGGCAGGAACGTCCAGTGAGCGCGAGCAGAACACACTAAGAGGGGACACGAAGCCACCCCCAGCCCGGACAGCGCCCATCGGGTGAGCAGCGGGGGCGCCCAGCAAAATGTCTCCACGCTGCTCTTCGCCGGCCACAAGCGCCACACATTTCTTCAGCGCTGGCAGGGGAACCAGTCCACACGTCACCCACATTCCCCGTCCTTCCTGGACATCCGGGGTACAGCCGCTCCTCGGCCTGGGTTGCGGCACAGCCAGAGAGGGGCAGGTGGGGACCCCGCGCCTGCTTCCAGGAGGGACCTCCTCACACCTGCCCACAATGTGCCCAGACAGGCCGGGGCACGTGCTTCCCACGGCCTCCAGCTCCGCACCCTCGGGGACGGCAGAGTGGGTTTCAGGACTTCCCAGTCCCATGTGTCTTTTGGGTTTTGCAGTCTGGGGATGAACCCAGGGCCTTTGCTCTAAGCTACCTCCCCAACCCTTTTATTATTATTTTGAGATAAGGTCTTGCCAAGTCCCTAAGTTACCCAGACTGGGCTTGAACTTGTAATCCTCCTGCCTCAGCCTCCCAGAGCACTGGGATTGCAGACGTGCACCACCACCCCGGCTGGGGATGTGCAGAGAAAGACCTTCATGCCCCAGGCACCTACATCATCCCCACCTCCCACAGCAGCTCTGGAGGGCTGAGCCTCCCCAGAATCTCCTGGCCACCTCAGGTCCCAGTGGCCGCCAGGCTTCCCTACTGGACTTCTGGGAGAGGCTGGGGCTGGTGGGGTGGGGGTGGGGCCCTACCTCACAGCGGTAGCACTCCACATGGTAGTCTCTGTCCATGGACACCACGCGGATCGTCTCGTCCGAGCCCTGGGGCAGAGGGAAAGCAAGACAGGCTGAAGAGGCCTGGGAGGGGCCTACTGGGGGCCCACGGGGCAGGGAAGGAAGACACGGGGTGACACGCAGGAGGCTCAAGCAGGGATGTGGTCAGTCATGGGTACCAATACTTATAGGGAAAAGGACGGAGAACAAGGCCCTGGGAGGGACAGCGGCACCTTCTAAACACCAGCCAGCACTCAAATGAGGACCAGCGGGGATATCTAGTCTTAAAAAATGCAGCTGGGCTCAGTGTGGTGGCACACAGCTGTCATCCCAGCACCCAGGAGGCTGAGGCAGGAGGATCGCTGTGAGTTTGAGGCCAGCCAGGGCTACACAGTGAGTTCAAGATCAGCCTGGACTCCACAGTGAGACCCTCTCTCTCAAAATAAATAAGTAAATAAATGAGAAAAAAAGGAGTAGAAGACAAGCTTTCCATTCCTTTCCAATCTAAGAATTATAAGAGAGTCTGACCTGCTGAGAGGGGCACAGCGGACCAGGGGTGGGGGGCGGCTGGTGACACCCTTTCCTCAGAGCCGGCCCGAGCGGGGTGCTGGAGGGTGTGAGGCAGGCGGGAGACTGCTGGGGCAGCCTGGGACACAGGTAGGGCACGTGGGGCAGCACCTCACCTCGGGCGGGAGGATGGGGAGCCGGCAGGCTGCACACTTCGGGGCCAGCACCCTGCAGGGGGACAGAAGCAGACAGACCATGCTGCGTGTTCCAAAGGCAGACGGAGGCCAGGCTCAGGAGGCCGCCCCGCCCGCCCGCTGCCCCTCCAGCCCGCAGCAGGATGTGCAGCCAGCTCTCTCTCCCTCTCTCCCCAAGGGACCGGCTGCGGGGCGGCTGGCTCCAGGGCTGTCCCAGCCAGAACAGGGCCATGTGGCTGCCTCTCGATGCCCGCGAGGGTCCTAGCTCCACCCTCTGGGGCCTCAGCAACACAAACCCGGTGAGGCCTGCGAAGCCAGGGGCCACAAGCTTGCTGGACTCCTGCCCAGGCCTCACCCATACTCTGATGACAGGTGTTGGTTGTGTTTTTCTCACTAAATGTGACCTTTTAACCAGTTCCTGTCTACAGAGGCATCCACAGGCCCCCCCAAGTCTGCCGCAGCCCTGAAAGCCACTAGGCCCCTGCCAACAGTGCGGTTCCCGGGGACCCTCCATACTTGTGGTAATCTCGGACACAGTAGATCTTGTTCTCGGAGTCCACGGTGAAGGGCACCCCGTCCAGACACTCGTTACAGATGACACAGCGGAAACAGCCGGGGTGGTAGGACTTCCCCAGGGCCTGCAGGATCTGGGGTGTCAAGGAGGCAAGGGTAAGGGTCAGTGGGTGCCACAGGGAAGGGCGGATGGCGGAGGAGGGAGAAGCGCGTGGAACCAGGGGCCACAAGCTGGAGCGGGCTCCTCTCTGTGTTTCAGCTGGACAAAGAGACCGAGAGGGGCCGGGCAAGAAGGCGGCCTGCTCAGCTGTGTGAAAAGTTGGACAGTAGTCCTCCTCCTACAACCACCGGGGTCGCTCAGCTGGGAGGGAACTAAGAGGGCTCCTTTCCAAAATCCCACACCCAGGGGAGGAGCTCTGAGCCACAAAGATGCAATAGCCAGGCATGGTGGTTCATGCCTGTAATCCCAGCACCTGGGAGGCTGAGGCAGGAGGGTCACTGTGAGTTCAAGCCCAGCTCGGGCTATGAAGTGAGCTCAAGGCCAGCATGAACTGCATAGTGAAAATAAAAAACAAAAATTCCCCAAAAAACAGGTAGGAAGGAGGCAGGAAATTACAATTTTAAAAAACCTACCTTTTTAAGACCCAATCAGAGTCACCTAAGGTCCCAATGCCTTTTACAACCCGAACCCCCTTTTTTTTTTCCAAGTTCTTTTCTCCTAAATTCCTAGGAGTCTTAGAGATATAGTACTGTAAATGCAGACATTTGGTATGTGTCTTCCAGTACTATACAAATACTTCCACCCTCAAACAACAGTATTGCCAGGTGTGATGGCATACACCTGTAATCCCAACACTCAGGAGGCTGAGGCAGGAGGATCACTGCAAGTTCAGCAGCGCGAACGGGCTGACCTGGTCTCTCGGGAGTGACGCCCGCTCTCCCTGCCTGGCAGCCACGAGAAGCACAGGGAAATCGGAGCAGGGCCAGGGTGTACCACACAGCCCTTGCGGGAGAGCAGAGACCGCCTTTCATGAAACCAGCTGCAACCACAAAGCAGGAAGGAAACGCTGCGCTGGGCTTTTCCTTTCTTTCTTCTCTAAATGCCTCCTCCTCCCGGGACGCTGAGCTTTTGTTCGGCCGATGCTACTCACCATGTCCATGATCAGATGTCCACAAAGAAAGCACCTGTCGGCGGACTGCTGGAAGCCAGAGTACTGCAGAGGAAGGAGAGCAAAGTTCAACCCGTGGGGTGCGTGAATGAGCCGATGCCCCACCGGCCAAGAGGATGAGCAGGAACTGCAGAGAAAGATGTGTCACCCCGTGCGGCAATCTGTCATCTGCCCAAGCTCAACGCCACTGCGTGCTGAGTCGCGGATTCTCCTCTGGCCGCAGAAGGTATTGCGCATACTAATGCCACTCACCCCGACAACAGCCGGAGAGCCAGGCTGCATAAGGAACTGCACTTAAAGAGCCCTGGTCTCAGCAGTTCTCCAAGAGGAGTTCCCTGGCATCACCTGGAAGCTCGTAAGAATGGCAGGCTCGGGAGCCCTACACCAGACCTAGTGAATTGGAAGCTCAGGTATCCATATTTTCTTTCTTTCTTTCTTTCTTTTTTCTTTTGTCTTTTTTGAGTCAGGGTCTCACTATGCAGTTCAGGCTGGCCTTGAGCCCAGGCTGGTCTCAAACTTGCAACGATCCTCCTGCCTCAGCCTCCCGAGTGTTGGGATTACAGGTGTGCACCATCACGCCTGGCTGGTATCCGTATTTTCACAGGCCTTTCAGGGGCTCTGACACACACTGAAGCCCGAGATCACCTCCGAAACCCTAGAGCAACTCTGCAAGGCACAGGTTGCTATCTGGATTTGTCAAGTGGAAGCAAGGACAGCTCTGGGAGGTTAAGTGATCCCTGAGGATTGCCTCACAGTCACACAAGCAATTCAGGGTAAGGACAGAACTGAAATTCAAGTCTGCTCCTGATTAAAGAGCAAATGCACACTGTGGGTGTAGCTCAGAAGTAAAGCCTCTGTTTAGTATGTGTTCAATCCCTGGTGGCAGAAGAAAATAAAAAAGTGAATGTCTTTTATAGTTAGCTTCAAAAGTGATGAATACCTACTTTATCAAACCACACACACACACACACACACACACACACACACAGGGCCCTAAAGTCTTGAAAGAAACGAGGAACTCATAGTCAGGCGTGGCGATGCACACCTGTAATCCTAGTACTTGGGGGGCAGAGGCAGGAGGACTGCTGTGAGTTCTACGTCAGCCTGAAAGGGAAAAACTGTATGAGAGAAATTGCACTTTCAAAAACTTTGTTCTTTTCAAACTGCCCAGCTCTGTAACTGCTTCATGGCTCTGTAATTACTTCCTTGACCCCTGTAACCACGAGAACGTAACCGAACATGCAGGATGTCTGACTGTAACAAGCTTGATAATCATTAACTAGTCCTATAACCTATGATCTCCCCCTGCTAGCTAATCAGAAGAACTGCCAGGCTGTTCTGTCTCACCTTTGTACCTCCTGCTTGTGCATCATAAAAAAGCCCTAGACCACCAGAGACTGGAGCATGATACTCTAGCAATGATCTCAATCAGTGCCCACCAACGTAAAATAAATCCTTCTCCAAATCCTGGGTGTCATTTTGGTGTTTCTGTTTGCCATAGCAAGCCTGGGCTACATAGTGAGTTCAAGGGCAGCCTGGACCAGCCTGGACTACATGGTGAGATCCTGTTTTTAAAAAAAAGCCAGGCGTGGTGTTGCACACCTGTAACCCCAGCACTTGGGAGGCTGTCAGGAGGATTGTTGTGAGTTCAGACCAGCCTGGGCTACAAAGTGAGCTCAAGGCCAGCCTGATTGCACAGGAGACCCTGTCTCAAAAAGACAGAGAAAAAAAAAAAAAAAGAGGAGGAACGCTCCTAGTACTCCTCCCGAGTACTAGGATTACAGGCGTGCATCGCCATGCCTGACTACAGTTCCTCGTTTCTGTCAAGACTTCAGGGTTTTGTGTGTGTGTGTGTGTGTGTGTGTGGTTTGATAAAGTAGGTATTCATCACTTTTGAAGCTAACTATAAAAGACATTAACTTCTTTATTTTCTTCTGCTGCTAGGGACTGAACACATACTAAACGCGTGCTGGGAACTGGGCACCATGGAACACATCAGTTATCCCAGCACTCTGGGACGCTGAGGCAAGAGGATCACAAGTTTGATCCCTAATGAGACTTTTTCTCAAATTTAAAAAGTGGGGAGGGGAGCCAAGGATGTAGCTCAGCGTAGATCCGGGATTCAATCCCCACTGTGAAAAAAGAGGAAGAAGAGGAAGCGGGAAGGGGAGAGGGCCGGAAGGGAGTGGGGGAGAACAAAGTCTGCTGGTTCTACGCACCGGAAGAGTAAAATCAAAGCGCGGGTAGTAGGACCCCATCTGAATGGGAAATGTACCGGAAGGGCAGGAAGGGGAACTTCTCCGCAAACTCGCGCCACCTAGCGGAGGGTCAGCTGCGCATGCTCAAAGCTCTTCATTTCACTTGGAACCCAGCTCCACCGAGGGAGGCTCGGGTGGCTCAGGTGGGGCGGACCCTACCCTACACCTGGCCAATGAGAGCCCTGTATTTCTCCAGCACCAATGACTTTGGCCCCCGGCGAGCACGTGGCCCACAAAGGACCAATGGGCGTCAAGGGGCCGTCTTCCGGCGCAAAGGAGGCTTGAACGCCGCGCACCTGAGAGGCTAGTGCCCACACTGCGGGAGCCAGCCTGGTTTTGGTGTTGCTGTTGGCAAGCAGTGGGGAGCAGTGCTGGAGAGGGGCGTGATGGGGCTCGGCCCGGCGCGGACAGGAGGCCGGGAAGACGCAAGCAGGGCGACAGCTGGGGCCGGGGCGGGGCGGGGG